TCTAAAACATAAACCACTCAACATACATGTGCACTGAAATTATTTTTCACATTAACCCAAGACTTAAATAGACATGTTAAGAATTGTAAAAGGTTTGGGAATTCAAGAGGGAAAAAATATAATTTCACACATTCTTGCTAATGTTGAATATTTTTATCACCTAGAAATACTGTTCGGTAGAATCTGCAACTTGTTCTTTCTATTTCCATACATTTCTTATATAAAGTAAACATGGACCTACAAGTCAGATTGTTTATACAATTTGTATCATTCTCAGAAACTATTCAGACCTGAAGTATCTTTAAAATTTTTAAGTGAAACCATCTCGATGAAGCCTAATATAATTGAACCAAAAGACAGATAACGAGATAAATGACTTTTAATGGAATTCAAAGTTAGACAGTACTTTATTGAGACTAATTTATCATAAAATATATGAAGGGTTTAGATTATAGTACTTGAATTAAACTTTTAACTCAGCATCAAGAACTTCAAACAACTGATAAAAGATATAAGAAAGGAGAAAACAAATGGATGTGATTATAATCTATAAATTAGGAATTACCACAGGAAGGAAATCCCAGAGATAAAAACAGGAAAGAAACAAAGGTTGGGAAAAGAAAAACAGAGTAAGGAGAACAAGGAAGGAAGTGATATGAAATAGAGGAATAGCTGAACAAAACAAATAGTGAATGAAATTGGTGAATAATTTATTGTTTTTAATGCAAACATTTGAGAATTAGTCCTTCATATTTGCTATTTCCAATTAACATTTGTGATATTGTGCAAGAGTTGAAAGAAAGTGCTGGATTTGGGATACGGTTGATTATCCTTTGTCACACATTGCTTTTGCTCTATTACTAACACAATTTTCACTTTCAAAATGATTGCAACATTTTAAAATCCATATCTGCCCAAGCACAAACAGTTTTGCTATAAAGGAAACATATTAAGATTCTAAGAGGTAATGGCTAACAAGATTGGGGGAAAATGCTTTTTCTAGTTTCAGTTTAAGTAAGAATTTGTGTTTAGTGCTAAAGATCTAATTGATGGATTCCACTGTTGTTGAATGGGTCCCAATGCGAGTTCTCATGTGTTTTGTTTTCCTGTCTTTGTAAACTTTACCAAATACGTTCTTGTGCTTCTGAACTTTTCATTTTTATGTAAATGTAAATAGTAACTATACAGCAATAATTTGTGGAATAATCTTTCTAGGACTGTGTCACTTGAATCGCGGATAAAAGATTCTATTATAGAATCTTTTCTGCAGTAAAACAACTCTACTTAAAAAAATTACCTCCTGAACAGAATAGAAAGCTCTGTAAAAATTCTTACTACTGACACATAATTTAAGATGCTCTAAAGAGGCTTTAAACATCCAATTACCCACTTGCATTCTGAAGTAGTACAGTCTCAGGAAGAGATAGGTAGCCCTTGACTTACAACCGTTTGCTTAGCAACTATTCAAAGTTATGACCTACCTGAAAAACAGAGCTTTTGATCCAAATTTCTGATATTTAGGCACCCCCGCAGTCACATGACATTTCAGGTACTCAACACAACCATATTTCTGGTCATGTGACCACACCATGACCGGTTTTACAAAGTTTTGCTGAAAACTGGCACTTATAATTTTTGGCAGAACTGTGATATAGCGAACAATGGTTTTGCTTAATGACAGCAGTGTTCACTTAACGACTGTGGCAAAAATCATGGTAAAGTCAGATCAGTTACATGACCAATTCATTTTACAACCATTACAACTTTCGATCATATTGGGCAGGCTCCATTACAGTTATCTGTATATATCCCTGTCTGGAGGACTACTGTGTATATATATTTTTCTACTTGCCTTTTTTACGTGCTTTCGAACTGAGTAGGTTGGCAGAAGCTGGGACAAGTAACGGAAGCTCACCCTGTTATGCAGCACTAGGGATTCGAACCGCTGAACTGCTGACCTTTCAATTGACAAGCTCAGCATCTTAGCCACTGAGCCACCACGTCCCACATTCCTAACTACAAAAAGGCAATTTCAAGCAACACATTTGATCCTATGTTGGAAAAACTATTTTTTTCCAGTTCTTTTTTTTCCCAATTAATATGGTAGATTAAATTTGTTTGTTCTTTAACCAGAGTGCATTTCTTCAATTTGCTAACTTTAAACAAAAAAAATGTTGCAAATTGTTGTTGTATTCTGTACCCAGAGGTTCTTTTAAAAAAAAGAACACCAGAAAGAAAAGAAACCAACCACTATAATTATGTAGATCTTAGAATGCAAAAGCAACAATTCAGTGCACCAGAATAGTATCAAATACTTAAAAGCCACAAACAACTAACCCATTCTTAAAATCATCCAAAAAGGGTGGGTGGAGGCAACCACTACAAATCTGATTTCTACTCTCAAATTTATTCTACTGGTCATTAAGGTTCTCTTAATTTTGTAATTACTGTATCCATTTAGCCCTCCAAAGATTTCAAGAATGATCTGATGTTCTGTCTCAGTATTCTCTTATACACCTTTCTTTATAAGATATGTTTTGCATTGTTTATGGTCATCTTCATTGCCTTCTCTCCACTATCTCCAGGTACTTTTAACATGAAGCATTAATTAAGCATCTATCAGGCGCTGCTGAAAACTAGTATAATTAGATAATTTTCATAAACTGAAAATTGCCTATAGATTTTATTTTTACCAGATGTTCAGCTATGATCTAAAATTCTATATTTTTGTAAATTGTTTTCTTACATGGACAATCATTCTTATCAACAGAATTCTGAATGTTCTTAGACAAATACTTTCATGCTTCCTTCTACCTTTCATACTTCCTGCCAACAAATTTAAAATAGTTTATAATGCTTACAGTTTGCAATTACAACAGTTAGTAGCTCTTACATGATGCAAATTACAAAATACCTGACAATGGATTTCTGTCACACTAGATAAGTAGTTAAAACAAGAACATACAAGTTATGCTCAATGAACGCTTGTGAATAGTCACTATTTAAAAACAGGTCTATCTGAATATTCCATAAGTTTTATCTCTGATCTAACTTATTTACATCTTACTTTCCTTCTCATTGAAAATATATATATAATATAATATTTATAAATAAAAAATATTCTTGGATAATAGTTCATACATCTTATAAAATGAAAGTTACGTATTCACAAAAACATATGCCATTATGAAAATATCAATACTGAAAGTGTCACTTACTTTACTTTCTATACTGAAACATAATTACTCTCTAGAAATTATTTCCTAAAATATAATATCCAGACACTTTCCTTCTATGACTTAAGACGTCTCCTAGGTACAGTACCAACCTAACAAAGGACCAGCCAGATGACAGGCTCACATTATTAATATACATTTGAAGTACAGTATATGTTGTGATGCAAATTACTTGTGAAGTATTTTTGCAATCTGATGAAATAGGATTAACTGTCTAGAACATATAACACAAAGAAAGCCCTGTATTTTTATTATATTACCATTCTACCATTATTACAAACCAAAGCTAAAGCCCCAAATTTAAATTAATTCATATGCAGCCCTATTTTCTATTGCAGTATTTTTCTCTCCCCTGCCTTCCCCCTAGAGCAGTGTTTCCCAAACTTGGCTATTTTAAGATGCATGGACTTCAATTCCCAGAATTCCCCAACCAGTATGCCTGGTTGAGGAATTCTGGGAGTTGAAGTCCATACATCTTCAAAGGGTCAAGTTTGGGAAACACTGCCCTAGAGGAAAAGCAAAGGAACTTTTAAAATTACTTTTACATTTATCCTCCTGTATGCCATTCACTTCCCTTTTACTAGTGAATCTAGAACCCTTTTACAGTAAATGGGTGTAAAGTTTATCCAATCCAAAAGTTTATCAATGATTTATACAACATGTCTTATTACTGATTTATACAATTAGCAAAGAAAGTTGAACTAGGCACAACTGGGCCCACTCCATGCTAAAATTAAGGAATCTCACTTTTCAATGTTTACATTGTTATTAATTGGAGACACAATTCACCTAGATGTTTTTTCTTAATGTGCTATTTTTTTAATTACAACGGAATAACCATCCGTCAAAATACTACATCCTATCTGCAATTTAAAGTGCCATAGTCCAAGATAATTGTACAACCAGGTGATGATCTCTATGCCATATTAGGCAAAAACAGAATTAGTACACATTCTGAAGATTTGGGACTTAGTGTATTTTGAAATAATTTCACCGTTTCCTTTGCAGAATGAAACCGCACATGCTACAAATCTACTACCCTATCATGCTTAAATCGTTTGTATACCGGTTTTTTTCTCTCCTGAAAAAAATTCCTTTCTTCCTTCCTTACATATATAATTGTTTTAAGAAATAATCTGATGCATGGCTATTTCGGAGTAAATTGGTTTGAGCCGAATGAGAATGAACTTCAGAAAGAAAATACATCAGGCAGGTCTGTTCTAGTAAATTTCCCATAGTGAAAAAAATGCCCATCTTCGATGACCGAGAATGCCTAAGTTAGCTCCTCCTTGTTTTTATCCGCTGCCAGGAAAGGCCACCTGTGGGATCTGCTGCCAAGAACAAACAGCAAAGTCCCAACCCTACAAAAATTCACTTCTTCATACAGCTCTGTCAATCAGCCAAAATGACTTCACAGGTTTCCTCCGCACCACCTTATATGTTTCTGCATTGGGGGTAGGGGAGAGTTGCCCCAAACGTGCATGCTTGCTGCAAAAAAGCCTAAGCGGGGCTTCTTCCAACCAGGCACCACCTCAAAAAATCCACACTTCGGGAGGAGGGGGGGAAGGAAAAGGACCTGAAATTTATCTTTCCCCCCCGCCCCCTATTCCCCCCCCGCCCGCATACTCACATAAATAAGACGCCCGGACAGAAGGGACTTAACCTCAGCACACGCGCGCCCCACCCTTCCCTTTCTTCCTGGGCAACTCTTTGTGACTCACGTGCTCGTCGGTTCTCATCCCAGCCGGAGACTCGGCCACTCACCTTGGCTCCCGCGCTCCACGCTGCCGCTCTCACTTTGTTGTGGTTGCCGGTCGTGGGCACCAGCGCAGCCCTGGCTTTTACTATTCTCATTGGCTGACTCGTCTAAAGGCTCCGGCTGCTGCAATACCCCTTGGGCACTCGGGGCCTCGTTGCCGCCAGCGGGCGCCTCCACCGGCACTACCGTGAAGTTGGTAGGCATGGCAGCGCTCTTTCTACCGGAGCGCTAGCCTGTGGCTAAGTCGCTTGGAGAGATCCAGAGTCGCCTCGCGCAACCACAACCCGCCGCCTGCCCCCTCCTGGGTAGTTGTGGCAGGAAGAGCGGCGAGGGCGGCTCTTTCTTCCCTTTTCTCCGCCTCTCCTCTCCGCCCCTAAGAGCGGCTGCCCGGGCAACAAACCTTGTTTGCCGCCCTCTTTTGCTATCAGCCAGGCAATAGAGGCGCCTCGCATGAAAGGGCCGTTTCTCCAAAATGAAAAGGCGGGAAGAGAGCGAAGCGCCTTTCTCTTCATATTGATTACCGGCAACGTCTGTGCATCTTTTCTTTCAATCTGCTGTGTTGGCCTCTATACACTTCTGAGAAACGCAGGCGTACCCAATATTCCTTCTGTATGCCACTGGTTTCGCATACAAGCCTTAAAGCACTTGATTTGGGGGAGTTCCATGGTATTTGTCCTGAATGTTACAGTTCAACTCTCTAATATGCAAATTAGTCAACGTTGTGCATCTAAGTTTGTGTTCATCTCCCACAAGATAGTCACAGCTGGCCCATACAGTACATACAGTACCTGGTTTAGGAGATAATACTTGTATTCATTAATAAAAAGCTAATGATCATGAATTTTAAAACATCAAGTCACTGAATTTTTAAATGGAGAGCATATAAACCATTTAATCTGGTACTTAATTTTATCTTTCACGGGGAGGAAATAAACTGGGGTTTTGTATGCACTATCAGGCCAAATCCACATAACTATCACTGGTGCCAGATGACTGAAAAGCACCTAATTTCTATTTGCTCACACACTGCCCTTTAAGCAGGAAGTACACTCAGCATCTCTGTCTAGATCGCTTTGCACTAAATCAAGGAGTTGCTATTGCATTTCCCTATAAGCATCACTGGTTCCAAGTAAGCTCAGAAACCAGGGCAATCATTTTTGAACTCACTCTACCCCACCCCACCCCCTATCTATGTAGTTGAGTGCATGAAGGCAAATTGAGCTATCAATGAAAGCCTCATGTCCATGTTGGTTCCTAATCATGGATTGTGATGGTTGGTTGATCACATATCTATCAAGCCACAAGTAATGTCATTTCCACCTTTATGTTGTACTGCAACATTGCAGTCTAACTGCCTCCTGCTCGTGCTAAAAGCTATGTGAACCTTCACCTACCAGTAATCCAAGCCAATCCTTTAAATTCCCAGGAATGATTTCCACTGTGACAACAAATGCCCCATGCAAATACCCAATGGCAATTTTCAGGATATGTCTTAGTGAACTTAGTCTGACTATGGCATATCTTGAAATTTGCCATTGGATACTTTCATGGGGCATTTGTCCTCACAATGGAAACATGGATGAGAGGCTAAATGGTAATGTTGAACAAATATAGCCTTTAATAGTGTAATCTTTGTGGCATGCTTCAATCCTATGTCCTGCATGCCACAGCGTGAAGTGCCTTCAAAGGGACTGTCTTGCTCAACTTCCCCAGCATCAGATGCTCGAGAGTCCTTAGCCTCCAGGTATCTTGACTTTACGGTAGAAAAGAGATGAATCCCAGTTGAACAAGATGTTCCTTTGAAGGCACTTCATGCTGTGGCATGCAGGGCACAGGACTGAAGCATGCCACAAAGATCACACTGTCAAGTGCTATATCTGTTCAACTTTGCCATTTCCTTTACAGGGTGTTATCCCACAGTTGTCATCACTGACAGAGAAATGGGCTGCTCAGCAGCCAGCATATTTATGCGGCAGATTCCTTTCCTCTTCTGCTTTTGTTGTAGACAGAAGCATGTAGGTCATTTTACCACTTCTTACTGGGTTTTCTCCCTGCAAGCAGGTTCAGCTACACCACCATCACAGCCTATGGAAACCTAGGCATGCATGACAGGAGCCAGTCACCAAGGCTCTGCTCTTATTCAAAGGCCCTAGTACGCAACTTGTGCACCTAGTCATATATCAAACATCGCATTGGTCCAGATCTCAACCACAGGCACAACCTATGCTCTTGCAGTAGATTACTGTGGCATGTTACCTCAGGATGGGGGGGCAATAGCTGTATTATTATCTGTACGTATTTACATATTTAATATATCGGCAAAGCAATTTGGGAAGTCAACAGAAGACTGCAAGCCATGATCATACAGGCCATACCTGACAAGATCCCTGTAGTTCATCCACCTCCCATGTCCATCACCATTGCACAAATAGGTTTGGTTCATAGTCACTCATGCATCCGTAGACTGGTGCACATGAATCTTAAAAGCCCTTTTGCTTTTTATTTGGATTTCCAGATAATTGCAGCTAAAGCAGACAAAACACAATGTTTGGTCAATAGCCAGGAAATAATCAGGAATGCCCCAAAGTAATTTTCAATCAAACCTGGGGCACCTCAAGTTCTTTTGGAGTACATGGAGACCCAATGAATTTAAAGTAACAGCAAAACTTTACTGGTTACAATATACATTTGTTCTATCTCACTGACATCCGTATCTCCACTTACCAAGTCCTTCTCAGCTAAGCTGCCAGGTAGTATTTGGAGGAAGGGAAGCTGCCAAATTCAAATCCAGGATGATTCAAAGAGTTGATGGACTTCAGGACCCCTTTCATCACCAAAAGTCCTTGTTTGCTTGATTTATAAGCTTGGTAGTTTCAGTTTTCTATGCAGGACCTGCCTCCATTATCCGTTTCAGGTGATATTTTTCCTTTAATTCTTATTTATTTGTTTCCTTCTTATCTATCTCCCCAAGGAATATTTTTGATAATATTCCTGGCTTTTGTCCTATATGTTTTTAGGCTCTGGCAGCTTCAGACTAGTCTCATATTATGATGTGTGGGCATGTCATGGAGACAATTACTTCCATGTATCCACAGTAAGTGAACCAAGATGGTTAGAGAAGATATAAGTGGCAACTCCATACAATAATGAATGAGGCTATAACAGTATCAGAGGTAACATGAGATCAAACCCGATGCATTGAAAGGAAACTGAAGGGTTAAAACAGAAGCTGACAAAGTAACTGGGTTTATATGTACTAGGCAATGAAAACTTGTATGTGTATAGTGTGTGAACCAAATGAAGTAACCATGCTGTAGAATTATCGAAGTGCAAGTATTACTTTTAAAAAAGTAGATTACCTTGTCTTATTTTCAGTGACACAATCTCTAACAGTCTCTGTTCTGACATACAGAAATGTGAGCAGGAGAAGAATAAGCAGCAAAAGCCATTAAGCCTGACCTTTAAACATAAGAGAGCAGCTTTTTCTAAAACTAGCTTGGCTGGTGAAATCTTTTGAAGTGCTCCATGCAAAGATGATGATACCAGCAACAGTTCTTTCATTCCTGATTTGCCACTATGGAATCTGTGTACACTATTTTCTGTTTGAAAGATAGCAGTCTGGTTTATATATAGGACGTGTGCCTTTGTTTAAAATAGTTAAAATACTGCATATAGTTCTTAACTTGGAGTTTATAAATATAATAGATTTACTGTCTAAATTATTATATAATATTAAAATAATTTCGGTATAAAAACTTTATAAAGCCATATAAAATATATTAAAAGCATGAATGAATCTTGTTAATTAAGACATTAATTAAGAAACAAACTTTGCTTGATTAAAGAGAAAATCTGTACTGGGAAAATCTATCCAGAGAAACATTGATGTAAATACATCACAAAAAAAGACTTTATCTTTAGAAAAACAGATATAATAATGACTGTATATGTTACTTGGGTGGGAAAAAGTGAGGGGCTTTTTTTGCAACACAATATTTAATAGAAACAATCTGAATACATGCCACCATGCAATGTTTTAATTCCCTGCATTATTGGGGCATAAGAAATAAGGCACTAGCCATTGGAAAAAACCTTGCGCAAAGCTCCATTTAGTTTCATAGAAATTTATTTATTTATTTATTTATTTATTTTTGAATTTGTATACCGCCCTTCTCCCTGAGGACTCAGGGCGGTGAACAGCCAAATAAAAACATCAAATACAAATATTAAAATACAGTTAAAAAATATATATAAATTTGGCCCCATTAGTTAAAACAATAAACCAAACAATTAAAAACACTTAAAAAGAATTAGGCCAGCCCGGCTTGTTGGAAAAGGAAGGTTTTAAGGGCACGGCGGAAGGCACTGAGGTCATGGATTCTCCTTATCTCAGGGGGCAACTGATTCCAGAGGGTGGGAGCCCCCACAGAGAAGGCCCTCCCCCTGGGGGTCACCAGCCTGCATTGTTTGGCTGATGGCACCCCGAGGAGGCCCTCTCTGTGGGAGCGCACGGGTCGATGGGAGGTCGTCGGTGGCAGCAGGCAGTCTCGGAGATAGCTAGGCCCTATGCCATGGAGCGCTTTAAAGGTGATAACCAACACCTTGAAGCGCACCCGGAAGACCACTGGGAGCCAGTGCAGCTCGCGCAGGAGCGGTGTTACATGGGAGCGCCATGCTGCTCCCGTCACTACCCGCGCTGCTGCGTTCTGGACCAGTTGGAGCCTCCGGGTGCTCTTCAAGGGGAGCCCCATGTAGAGAGCGTTACAGTAATCAAGGCGAGAGGTCACGAGGGCATGAGTGACTGTGCACAGGGAATCCCGATCAAGAAAGGGCCGCAACTGGTGGATCAGGCGAACCTGATAAAAGGTCCCCCTGGTTACAGCCGTCGGATGTTCCTCCAAGGACAGCTGTGTATCCAGGAGGACTCCCAGATTGCAAGCCCTCTCTGTGGGGGCCAAAGACTCGCCCCCAATAGTCAGTGATGGAGTCAACTGACTATATCGGGATGCCGGGAACCACAGCCACTCAGTCTTGGAAGGGTTGAGCCTGAGCCTGTTCCTCCCCATCCAGATCCGTACAGCCTCCAGGCACTGGGACATCACTTCAAGGGCATCATTGGGGTGGCCTGGGGTGGAGATGTACAGCTGAGTATCATCAGCGTACTGATGGTATCTCACCCCAAAGCCACGGATGATCTCGCCCAGCGGCTTCACATAAATGTTGAACAGGAGGGGCGAGAGGACCGACCCCTGAGGCACTCCACATATAAGAGGCCTCGAGGTCGACCTCTGCCCCC